TGATTAATTTATTTTGATTTGAACGTACACAAGGCCTTAAGCAACGCATACGTATGCAATGAAACTCTTGTTGTTAATATACGTATTGTGGCATAACAGCTCAGAGCAACAACTGTGGAGTCAAATCAGCCGGCCGTTACTAGACACCGACCCGTAAAAATAACAATGTTTTCTGCCCAGTCCATACCTTTGGTTGCGCACCCAACGATAGAATATGTGATACCATTGCTAAGCAACAACTGAACTGCAAAAGAGAAAAGGTGCTTTCTACGCGGTCCATGCCGAGATATAAGAGGACAATTTATGGGTGGCAGTTAGAAAACTTATGCGGTTTCTTCAGTCAATCGGCTCACAGTTGGCGGTAAGTTTGTCAGCCTTAAGCCCTGGCAGCCCTTTACCTCCAGAATGATTCCTGTGTTTCGAAATTTTGCCGATTTACGATGAATGCTACTTCGGCTGTGTCCCTCGTGTAAGAGATGACTGAAACTAGCGGAAACACAATAGAAGTACAGTCCTTGATGGTGGTAGTATAAGGCTGAAATATATCTTAGCAATATAAGATAGGTATATGAGACAAAAAATAAACGTTAAATTTAGAGGAAAATGTATGAAAATAAGTAAGTTCCATTAAGTGCAACAGTTTTTAATATGAATAAAACCTTTACATGTGCAGCAGCAGCACCACCCGAACACACGCAGACACCTTACAGACTGCCCGCCACCCAAGACATTTACGTACCAAACGTAAAGAAATACCGTCATCGGGGTTCATGCAGCCGAAAGACAAGATTTTAAACCAATTGAAATCGATACTACTTGCTTTCAACACAACTTCCTTTAAACATACCAATATTTTAAACCCTTTTGAAACCATATACGCATCTCAAGCTTGTACAGTACCCGCCTCTGCGGTCTAGTGGTCAGAGTTCCTGGCTACAGATTTAGGGGTCCGGGTTCGATTCCCGGCGCTACCAGATTTTCTGAGAAGTATTCGGTCTGGAACGGGGATCTCTCAGCCTCGTGATTATAACTGAGGAGTTATTTCAAGAAAATAGCGGCTCCGGTCTAGAAAACTGATATTAACGGCCGTGGGGATTCGTTGCGCTGACCACGCGGCAGCTTCTATCCGCCATAGTTGGCACTAACTTCGCCGTCAAGCGGCGGTCGCTCGGTCGGTATAGTTCAGTGGCGGACTCAAAACACGCCACGGAGTTTTTTGTTGTTGTTTATGCTTGTACAGTATTTCGTTTGAAATATTGGTCGTATTCTAACAACGGCCGATAGCGGCCGAAATATTTAAAGGTCTTATTCATATTAAAAATTGTTGCGCTAGATGCAACTTACTCTTTATTCGTATATTATAAATTGTAACGGTTCAATAAAGTATCAGTTATAAAAACCCATAACCATGTACCAAAAAATAAAATTGCTTTTAATTGCCTACTCCAAGAAACAACACTTAACGGACTTCTGTTTCGTTTATACTATATATTGTTATAAAAACAAATATTTATACCCTTCTTTTTTACTCATTTCTCAATAAATATCTTTCTTTGATAAAGTACGGCATGAACAGTCGGTAGCCTATCCAATGTCTGTAACACGCAGGTCTGTTTGCAGTAACGTCTGAAATGTTCGTATAAATCTCACAGAAAATCTCGAGTGCTTGAGCCTGACGCGTGTTGGCACTAGAAATCCTATATTTTTATCAGGGGCATCATCAGAATGTGGAACTTACAAGTCTCCCTCCTTTCTATTTGGGTCACTTTTATGTCTTCTTTTAAGTTTTATTATATAGTGACTATTTCATAGTATAATAGAGTATTAGAATATCATTGTGTATTAAAATGTGTTATGTTCTTACATGTTCAATATTTCTGGATTCAGGTAAGACATGGACCTAACAGAGTAGGTGTATCGCCTTCATCTGGGGACTGAAAGAGATCCAGTTTCAGAAAATTTGTGTTTCTATTTTTTTTTTTTTTTTTAGAATACCGGACGATATACAAAGTCCAGAACTCAGTACTTCTGAGTGTTACATATCATCGTCAGAACCCTTTATAATCCACGGCTTCTTTACACTTTTCTTGTATTCACTCACTGAGTTTCTTTGGACTGGAAATGGAATTCGTTTGGCCTGTGTTACCCTTGTAACAGGCCTCGGGGTTCCATAGGCTTGTGAGACGTTGAGGGTCTCATATTATTTAGACAATCGGCTCAAAGACGGCGGAAAGGTTGTCAGCCTTACGCGCCGGCCGCCCTTCACCCCCCAGGAAAATTTCGGATACTCATTTCTGTTAGAAGATGAGTCCACCCCAGAGTCATAGTGCAGCTGGAAGGGTTAGGTCAATTTCAAAACTCCAATGATCTCATCGGGACTTGAACGCACGACTTTCCGGCTTGTACATAGTGCCTCAACCAACTACACCATCGCGTGCCCCTGGTTAAGTGTATAGAAATTTATAATTAAAGTTCTAGAATCATTATCTCCAAACGTTATGTAGCTACTCGTATTTATCTTTAATGATGCTTCAGGAATGTGAATATATTTTTTACACCCTTGGTTTTCTTAGAAAATACTGGAATTACTATAGGTTTCGTGGAAGATATAAAATTTGTTAATTCTGTCACGAATATGGAGTTACTTCAGACGAGGTTAGGATTTTAATTGGATTTATTTAACACTTGCAGATCGTAGCTAAAAGCAACTATACCGCTATCGCTAATGCACACATAATACAATTCACTACAGTATACACTAACATTTCTGAGTCTGCTGTGTGTTCATCGGTTGTCTGGTAACGGCTTCCAACGTCGTATATCCCTCGACTTCCGTGTTCACCTCTTCACGTCCTAGCTGCTTGTTGCTTATCTCACTGCAGCTCCCGAGCAGTCTTCAAATTGCCGAAATCTCAACTAAACTCGGCTCCTTTCCACTGACTAACTCCCAGGCTGTCGGCCATCTCACACAAAACTCCTACCCTGCTCACTGCCGTCTCAAGACCCTCTTATACGTATTTACCATTGCTTCTCGTTATGGAGCTCCAGAACGGACAGCATAGAAAACAGCTCTCCCAAAATTTCTGATGTTGCTTCACGTAGCTATCGCAAGGCCCGCGAGGCGAACGCCGTTTCCCAGTTACTCCATTGTTTCGTGTTACGAAACTATTGCAGCCCTTACCTACCAGGGCTGTTTTATACGTTCTTATTTCGCGGTCGTTGCCTGGAAACGGCTCTACATGCCACAATGCTATTTCCTTATGGCTATTCGTCCGCAATAGCCTACAACCTTACTTCCATCGCTTCTATTCTGAGGGCTGTGCTTGCGACGTCTCTGTTCGACTTCACATTCCTTCCCCCGTGTCTCAGATCTTACGGTGATTACTCACCAACTGCTACTGCTGTTCCCTCCTTAAAGCTCCTCTTATTCGAGGCGTTCCCTCATAATGTGCAAGCCGGTCCAGGTATACCACCATCATCTTCGAGCTCGGATTGTGCTTTTGACGTCTATTCTTTTGTTTTGGAGGGGGCCCGACTCCTCCATCTTTCCTTGATTGGCGTCCATCATGGATTCCATTCTTCTTTGTTGGTTTCCATATTTTCTTGAATGGTTTTTATTTCAGCTCCTATTTGGCTTCCAATCTTTCTTGATTAATCCTCATTTCAGTCTCTATCATCTGTGCCTCAACCTAAAGCATGAGGCCGAAATCTTAGTGAAGGTCGTTCCTCGTGTCTGTTAGGATTTCCTGGAGGCTCATCGTCCGTGTATCGAGGGATGTCTTTACTGCCTGTAAGTCCATCTATGTTTCATCAGTCTTCTAGGCGAGTCCGTTTTTCATTATAATTTACTACTTTCGATCACTAACACATTGGAATATATGTGACTGCATTTTACAAGAAAATTTTTATGTAAGATCAACAGTACATATTCCTTCTAGACCAATATTTTAGACATCTTCATGGATTTGTAGTTCCTAACGTTTTCCAGCCCAGGTTTCCATTAAATATATCGCTGAAGATATTTTATATACTATGAAACTTATATTAAGGTTATTATTTCCACTGTATATATTGGCCCGTTTCTCCTGCTTTCTTCAGAGACTGTTGCTATATCTTTATCACCTTTTTTATTTGTTGCTTTTCTCTATTTCTATTCATTCATGCCTTTTATACCAGGTCCCTTTTATACCTAATTCGTTCTTCCATCATAGTATGCAAACCATTTTGTATACAATTTATAGTTCCCATCAGGCTAGCAGGATGTATGCTGTAACTGTCCAAGCAGAGGAATATCAAGTAGATTCCAAAAGAGGTCTGACAGTCGTGTGTAACAGTAAGAATTATTTGGTTTTTGGGACATTTTATATCGATGGACAAAGTCCAAAAAGCCAATAATTCTGAGAAGATTATCATTTGATAAATGTTGAAAACTTGTCGCTTAAGGGAGGAATTTCCAGAAATACCTGTCACATGTAAATGTTTTTTATTAAGAAATTCTTAGGGATGCAAATATCCACAGCAGTTTCACGGAAAACTTTAGATATTTCAATTTGAAGTTTTGTTGTGTCATAGACCGTTAGTTGACAACAATGAATATGTCATACAAGTAGAAGCTCCTTTGTAAAAGAAGTGTGAACACTGGTTTTGAGCATACTATTTACATTCACACTTATTCCTCAGAATGGGCAGCGCCATAGCTCAAGCGGTTAGTCGCTAGCTTTCCACGGCGCCGGCCCGGTTTCGATCCTGGATCTGGTCAAGTGGGATTTGTGGTGGACAAAGTGGCGCTAGGGCAGGTTTTCTCCGAGTACATCGGTTTCCCCTGCCAATCTTCATTCCACCAATTGCTCCACAATCACCCTCACCTATCATCTGAGGCTGGTACAATGGGCCAGAAGTGGCCGCAGTACAAGGGACTTAGTTCCACCTCAATAGCAATAAAAAATACTCCTCAGAATGCGTAAACAAAGAAATCAAGAAAGAAACACGTATACAACATGTCGAGGTTATATGTATAATTATCAACATTCGTACAGCCAAATTGTTGCTACATATACAATCACATTGAATGAAATTTACACAATATTTTATTATAATTATTTTTTTCATCTATAATTAAAATGCAGGATCTTTCTAGAAGCTAATTGTATTGTTGAGCCACACATGCCAGTGGTTCAGCCATTTTATAACGGCGTACACACGCACACAACACCCACTTTATTTGCAATTGTTGACTTAAACTTTTGACATTGAAACCTGTTTTGTTTTAAATATACACATTATCAACTTGCAAGATTCACAAACATTTATTTTTTTTTTTGCATAAGAATATGTTGAGAGAAGGGTTGCTTATATTGTTTGAAAATTATTACTGTAATGGACAAAGGAGATACGGTTCCAGTTTGATTCATCATTGAGGATGAATACATCTCTGATGCCCTGATTTAGTATTTCGTTTTCATTACTTTGTATAGCAAAGCAAAAAATATGTATTGTTATTAATACATATATATATACCTTAGAGGAGTATGTACCAGATCAAGGTATTTTAAGACTTCATCAGAAAAATTTAAAACAAAGTAATTATATTTTCTTTGAAGAACAGGATTCATTAAAATAGATTGATGCACCAAAACAATTTGTGTCCATGTGGATATACCTGTTGTATTTTTATTGTAAGTAGATTAATATACTGCAAAAAATCTATTATAGAGTAACCGCTTTTGGTCATTAGTGGTACTTCCTGTGCACTACCTCCTTTGTTTCTTTACGTAACATTTGAGTCTACACAGAGACTGCTATTGAGAAGAAAACACCAATAAACATATTTACATTACTGATCGTAATTCTTAACATATATTCTGTTCTTTCTTTTTCAAACACATCTTCCTTCGATCTATAATAAATATTTTAAATAAAAACTATGCACCGCTGCGATTTTGTTTTAAATATGGCCACATACATTCTTGCTATCATAATAGTCCTCCATTGTCCGTTCTTGATATTTATTTTACTTCCATCCAAAATCGTGTAGATCCTAGTCCGCGTTCTATTATGTCACTGTTATTAATGTAACTGTATGCATAGTGACAATTATTCTGCTATGAGTATGAAGAAACATTTCAAATAATACTTTGTAATCAGCATGTCATATTATATATAGTTATACTGGCGATATTGGGTTTCATTTATTTTTTGCGTAAATCGTGAACATAGTTTGAAGGTCATAAATTGGCTCTAATAATATCATATCGGTGTTAAATATATGTGAGATATTTTGCAAGGTCAAAACATTACAAAACATTTATTTTGACTTTGTGTTTATTTAAAAAAAAGGACGCAGTTGTTGATGAGTAATTTGCAAATTGTGTCATTGAACTTTTGTTGAAGAGCTGGCTATTTGCATTTACTGAGATTTACTGAAACTATAAACATCTTTCAGAATGCTGTTGCATGTCTCATTCCTTCACTTCACGTATGGCGTGCCATTAACATTCCCTGTAATATTTCATGTTGCAATTATGTCGACAGAAAGTTTCTCATCACTGTACCCTAAAGATGTTAGAAGAGTTTCTTTTTACCAGAAGCATAAATAATTTTTCATAATGACGTATAGTCATCAACACATAATTGTGTTTATTTACGAAGTAGATAAACACCCCCTTCATTCATTATAAAACGAATGAAATTCAACACAGAATCCATTATTGTCAGTGGACTAGCAACATTTCCTTGATTCACATTTAAGCTGATCCTCACGTTGTCATGGATTCTTATTGTTGGGGGTATTGTTGCCATTCATACTAACTGTACGGACTTCCGCAGGCGTACAAGCCGCGTTGCATAGGCCCCACCCCCATTCCCATAGCTTGATGAAAAGCATATCCTTCATCTTGTAGAGAAGCCAAGTGGAAATCTGAAAAGAAAGCAACAAGCAATCAAGGAAGAAGTACCAATTGATGGAAAAGAAAAACTTATGAATAACTTTGCGCTGTACAGTTGCGTGCTTCATACCTATTTACGATTTCAGATTATGTAATGTATATTTGTATAAGATAAGTTTAATTGCCCCCAAATTTGTATGTGTTTATTTTGTGATAAAATTGTTGGTGAATTTCTGCAGGGACTAACAAGGAGTCATCGACCAAGGACCTTCATGAATTAAAATCTGAAGGAATTTCATGAAAATGACCTGATAAATTTGTTAATGTACATAAAAATTAAATTAAAGAAACGAAAACATGCTGAAGTAAACAGCAATGCTTTCCGCTGTGCTCAACAGAGAGCACTGGTCTACGTCCATGAACAGTTCATGTTCTTACTCTTGTGTCCACAAATAAGCTTTATATAAAAAAACACAAAAGGTTAATCTCATATGGGAGTAACTGATCAATAACTTATTAAAGTTCTTCAGGTCTGATGATGAGATATGTTCGAATCGTCCAGATGCACTCTTTTAATTAAAATCACAAATGGATACAGTAATTTCTGTATTCCTGATTCAACTCCTGATGCAATAGAGCAAGTTTCGATTCTCTGTCGCAAAACTGTCTCTTGAAAGATGTCATATTGTCACAACACATTCTGTTGCTTATTTTGATGATAATTTTTTTGAAATCTCCTGTATAAATGCTATGTGTTTCGGATCTCAACTTTCATATAATATTTTTAATACAAAAACCTTTTAAAATGTTCCGGACATTAACTTATGTTCAGTATTTATGACGCTTTTTGTGAGAGCGAAGATGATGATGGATTTATTATTATACAGACTTAATCACTAAATGATAAAGATTTCCTCAAATATTATATTCTCTACTGTATCAGATGTATACGATTTTATATTTTATGGCATTTGTTATTGTTGTCCTGTGTGTTAAAACACCAGTAAATCTGGTAGATAAGTAACAAGGTTTCGTAGGAATAGCGAGCTTCAGTCTTAAGGGTTTGAGTGGAAATTTACTACCACCATCTTCAGTTTCAAAAGTAAAGCTAAGATTTTAAACCTGAATATGAAGGCAGTATCTTTGTCTGATATATCAATACGCACCTACCAGACAACACGCTAACATAACACAGAAAGGCTGTATCAGATGCTGGACTCTTTCATCAGTTCACCTAACGTATATAAACTGCTAAAGAAACCTTGAATATAACACCAGATTTCGGACACTTGCATAGACATATGTTAATATTATTGTATATTAACAAAATCTGAACTTCACTGCAACAAAGGAATATCCAAATGCATTTTGTTAAACACCTTTCCTCTAAGATTTGTGAAGAACCCTTTGTAGGTTATGTGGATTTATATTAAAGTAAAATTAAAATTAGTCACAGGAATTTTAATTTTTATTTGAAATATCATCCTTAATACATGGAATGAAGCGTGAATGTAACAGAGAATTGTATTGCGTGTTGGCAGAAAACAGGCATGTGAAAAGATCTACATATTTAGTATCGTTTAACATTCGACAAGTTCATAGGATAAAATATGTTGATTTGTAATTTTACTAAAATAAAACCATCTTTGTATAATAATCGTGGCTTTCGTGCACAGTCATCTTTGCCTAGACTACCTTCAACCATTCTTCTTTGCAGAGAAATTACATTTTTTTATGCTCGCTGTTGATTTAGTCAGTCTCTTTGTGTAGAGTGGTTCTAGATTTAAAAGGAGTGTTTGAATATGAGTTAGAGTGTACTTACTGTATTCATTCTGAAATGGTCTATAGCCTGATATATAGTGTTAACTGTGAGATCAACAGAGATATTTAGAGACAGTCTATAAAAATGAAATATAATGAAAGATTTTTTAAATAAAGAGAGTTAATATTTTGTTTACAGAATTTATATCAAAATTTGGTTCATCTAAATTTCCCTAGTAGAGCTTTTAAGTAAAAATTACAATTAACTATGTCACATAATCTTCAGTTTGGATACATTCAAAATACACTAATTCATATATAGTGTGTGCTATATATACGTTCTTAAATCCCTGTATATTTCCGAATTTGTTTTCATTATTTTTCAGAATTGAGAAATACATGTAAAGTAATATATTTGGAGCGGTATGCTGCATAAGAAGCAGTAAGCACAAACATGACAATATTAGTTCACTAAAAATGTTACCATTTAACAGTCTTTTGTAAAATTTCAACAATTAATTGCTTTAACTGTGCACTTTATATTCGTATAGTAGTTAAGTACATGTTTAAAATGTATCCGTTATCTGATTTCCTACCTACATGCTGGGAACTGCAACTCGATACAGTTGAAACACATATGAGGACTTATATCGTACATACAAGTATTTGGAATAGGCAGAAAGTGAACTAAAGTTCTCTGTCACTTTGCTTCCTATATAAATGACAGTTTAATGTACAACTTTTCTTTGGCACGAACAACCACAGTTTGTGACACATAAACTTTATACCTTAATAAGACCATTCATATATATACACATCAACATATACATTTTTAAAAGCCAGAAAATCTGTCCATACACATCTTTATATTAAAACCATTTCCCCGTAAATTGCTCCACGATCTTTTCCTTGTAGATGAGAATTTGTCCTGATAACATGATCACACAAGAAGAAACAGGTACAAAAACGCTAATGATCCTGCAAGACGGGTTAAGGTTACCTTGTTATTCCTATTGAATATTAATACCTTTCTCTGTTGACATGACAGTCGATCGATTAAGGTGATACGCGTTTAGAAGCTTGATGTTTTCAGTTGTGACGCACTGTTCTATAGAAGCTCAAGCATTTATAATAAACTGAACTGTGTCCTAAATGGTATGCAGCACATTCTGACATGTACAGAAAATTAGAATATTTTCTGTATCTTACAGCTTAAATTCGGTCAGCAAATAAACTCTTATTGTACCTTTGAATACAGATATATTTAGCGATATTCCTTTTAAATAACGGAAAATGTGACTTCAGTTCAGAACTATATGAGGTTCTTAGAAGTACGTGTTATTTGTACTCCTAAGGCATATCACAATTTGCGCCTCATTCAGCATATGAATGAATATTTGCAAGACAGAGGGAAAACCTATTTAAGTAGCTCTGTCTTTATGCTACGAATATTATAGTGAGATATTGTCGTTACCTTTTCGAATTATGATAATTTTTATTGAAATTTTATCTAATTTTGAAGTAACTATTATAACAAATGTATTATTTTTCTGCCCAGAAACTGTTGCCAACCCCCATACATACTATTTAAAAACCCTCTATTGCATATTCTTCTCCATAAGAAATACATATTCACTTTTTTATTTTCACAGCTATCTGAAACAGTGAGGATCTGTAACCTATACGTTAGAGTAGCAAATTTATGTTCCACTTTGTGAAGAGGTAATATATAAGAGCAATATTTGCGGTCTATGGAAAAATGGTGCGTACCTAGTAAAATTAAGCAATTTCGTATGAGTCTACTCTCCTGACCTAAAGATATTAAAATTATATTATGGCCCAAATATAAGTATCTTAACAATAGGACGTTACAATTCATGAATCCTAATATCAGTTAGTTTTCATTACTTTCAATATATGTCGTTCATTTTACGCATACATACGGTTCGCCCATATGTGAGTTCATGATTTTATGACAAAATTGCTCAGTGCTAAATTATCAAGGAAATGAATAAGAAGGTGATATACTTGATGTTATAAAGAAAATATTTCGGCCGATTTATTGTAGGAACCCTATACCTGAGACCTGCTTCTTCTTCAAAAAACTACGTAGAGATCAGAATGCCACATGACCATAGATGTTTCGGCTACTTTTAGGCATGGTTGCAATTAATATACGTATTCGTATCTCTGTACTTAATGATCGTTCTATCCATACGGGAATAAGAGTTTTATGCTGTAGCATACTTCAATTGACAGACTGGAAAGGATCATATATATATCCAGTTTAACAACATAACAATCTGTTTGGAAATATTACTTCATAAATTCCGCTGAAATGAAATTGACACGAATTCATATGATATTATATGTCAGATATATTTTTAATTGGATACTGCTGAATAGAGGATTATAAAATGTGAAGAAATTGGTTCCTGGGAAAAATGTTTCGTTAGCGAATAAAAGTTGCGTGTTTTACACGTTTCCTGATTTTGCCTGGTTCCTCTCGCAGTTAGTAATATCTCATTAGTAGTGTCCCTGCAGCCAGTATATTTTACTTATAAATGTTATGCCTATAAGAAAATTAGTTTTAACTGTACTTTGGCTTCCAAAACAGACATATTCAGAAAGAAGTAGCATTAGGAGTCTCCTGTTTAAATTTTATGGATATAATTATGGTCGAATTCAGACCAGGAGTTAAAAATATGTGGGGACTATTTGCATGCTTTAAACTCTTTAGGAAAGTAAGTAGAAAGTCTACAACTGGAGCATGATTCACATTCTATTCTTTCTCTTAGGACTTTTTGGCTTGATCTCATCGTTGTCCTTGCAGTATATTTTAGTCATGGACTAATTTCTAAAACGAATCATTCTCTCTCGCACTGCAAACCACTGCGTGAAATAATTGTAACGTATATGCTTTAGTGTATTCGTACTAGAAACACATGTCAGTGTTAAGAGAAACTCTATTCGGCTCACTAGATTACTAGTGCAAGGGTGGAATTAGGTAGTGAGGTGTGCAAACTGGTGATGGGGCGGAGGTCCGAACTGATGAACCGGATGGCCATAAGGTGACATGTGTGACATGTGGTATGGAACAATGTTCATACTGGCCATCTTGTGCTCTTTCTTCCACTTCATGCGTCTGTTCTGGAACCAGATCTTGATCTGCCGCTCCGTGAGGCACAGAGCGTGGGCGATCTCTATTCTCCGCCGTCTAGTCAGGTAGCGGTTGAAGTGGAATTCCTTCTCCAGCTCCAGGGTCTGGTACCTCGTGTATGATGTCCTTTGACGTTTAGTTTCACCATTGGCGTTCACCGTACCTGAAAATATAAGACAGTAACTTTCAGTTAGTTGCTAACTCTGAGGGTGTATAGTGCACCAGTTCACAGCCTCCCATATACACCTTCGTTACCCAAGTAGCCTCTTATTTTCAGGGCAAAGGTAAAAAAAGATAACGTTGTTCTTGTGGTTAACTAATTAGGCACTACGCCATGAAGACGTATGGGGGAGTGGATGTATAAATCGACATTTTCTTGACCTTGACACTAGTTGGAGGTGAGTGGTCAGCNTGAGTGGATGTATAAATATACATTTTCTTGACCTTGACACTAGTTGGAGGTGAGTGGTCAGCTTCATGTCCCGGCCGCTTTATCCCTGATACCCATTGTACAGGAGGTTGTGTGCACCCCAGAGCCGGTCTGGAAGATTGGAGATGTGAAATTTCTTGAGCCTATCGGGACTCGAAATCCGACCTCTCGATCGTCCAGCCCGTAGACAGTTACTATACTACGCTATCCCGGCTCATTTATTTTCAAGGTTTCGGAATAAAATTTTATGCGTACTATTCATCTCCCTCGTACTCCGTACATGGCACACACATACCACCCTTTTTTCATTCAATCATCCTGAGGGTATCTGGTGAAAAGCACGAATTATTACTTTTCCCCAGTCCCGTGTTAAATGTCCTCCTTCGTGTATAAATGTTCTTCTCGGCAATTTATTGTCAGATACCCCAATCTATGGAGTAGCTCAGTCGGTATAGCAACGGGCTGGACGACAGAGGTTCATTTCCCGACAAGAGCAAGAGATTTTGCTGTATTCCACAGCGTCCAGACCGGCTCTCGGACCCACCCAGTCTCTGATTTAAAGCGTGCCGCACGCTGTTTTCACGGGGATAAAGCGGCTGAGGCGTGAAGCTGACCACTTACCTCCATCTAGTGTCAACGTCAAAAATTGTGGAGCTATAGCTCCACTCCCCATACGTCTAAATGGCCTGGTGTTTTGTTAATTAAGCACAGAGACAAATTTACCTTTTTACCCGCAATCTGTGTTCTTCACTTAGGGCGACGTTCTCAGTTTCACAGTCATGTAAAGTAATAGATAAATTTATAAGTCGTTACTGAACGAATGAACCGTTTCGGAGATCTTCTACCTGAACTCCTGCCTTGAGTTACTAAACACATGTTAACATTTGGCGATGTGTATTTGTGGCGCTATCTACCGGGCTACATAGTCTCTTGCTTCGTACGAGCACGCAGTGCCTGTGGCAGTCTCTACCCTTAATAAACTTATTTTTATGTCACTCATCTAAGCTGTTAATTAATTAACTAGCAAACACTGGCATTGCGGTACATGCACAGTACCGATGAGTGATGATATAGGAACACAGATACTATAGTTGTCTCTTCTCCCACTACCCTTGACAATATGTGGGGGGGAGGGTTGAGGGAATCCCCTCTGTCTGCCAGTTCCTCCCCGCCAGCGGTGTGGTGGCGGGTTGAAATAGATGTCGCAGCTTGCTAGCGCTGCCACACAAATTGTGCCCCCGGTCGTGACCAAAGCTATCAACTTCGTTCTAAAAGCCTATCATGACCTGGCCAATATATACAGAATGCCCTAGACATCCTGATACAGATGTACAGTGTGCTATTGAAGTTTACAAGTTGTAGGCTTACAGAACAGTAAGAATAGAAATGGATTTCGCTTTAACCTTCACGGAATTTCTATAACAGACAAATTTCCTATTTCATATTTATCCTAAAATATTACCTAATTTTGTTTATAGCATTTACTATTAATGAAATTAGTGGCTTAGGCACTATGCTATAAACCGGAAGGTCGCGGGTTCGAATCCCGATGAGGTCTTTGGATTTTTAATTGATCTAATCCTTCCAGCCGCATTATGGCCCTGGGGTCGACTGAGCCTCTAACAAAAATGAGTACCAGACATCATCCTGGGGGGTAAACGGCGGCCAGCCTGTAAAGCTGACAACTTTACCACCATCTGTGAGCCGATTGTGCAGAAGATGTTGGAGCCTCGTCATCTCAAAACCCATGTGACTCTAGGGATTGTTACAGGGATAGCTTCTATTTCACTATATTTTTTTACAATTCCTTGGAAAAGAGCACTGGAACATGGGCCCTATGCATGGTTATTTAACTAGTTTCACGAGAATTTTGAACAGCGGTCAGGAACCAATTTGATCTTGCCCTTTAAATCTTGGAAATTTCTGTATAACTGCTGTAGAACCCTCGGTTTCAAACGACAAATGAGAGAAAAAAAAAACTGTTCTAATATTTGTATCTGAATATTTATGATTATCATACGGAATAATTTGAATTAGAGTAATGAAGTTTGCTAGTACTTACATAATAAACAGGAAGGCATTTCTGTATAATTTATTATCAAATATTTGTAGAGAAGATGGTATCTTGAAACATGTAACTCCGAGTTTTAGCTTCGTGTGTTTGACATTAAATCTGAATACACGTTAATCGTATCACAGAAACGGTTATGGCAGGCTTATGCTATATACTGAAAGAAGCTACACATTCCACATGTGGAGATTATCCAAAGATGTATATAGGTTACTTCTGAAACTCCACTTCGGAAAAAAGAATACATGGCATTCTTAATGCTGAGACTGGACGATCAGATGTGTAGCTCATATAATTTATTACCCTTCCTTACAAAAGCATTTTGTTGTCCACATGAGGGGACATAAGTCATTATATCTGTGAGACTTGGTGGTACTGTTTTATACGTGTTGGATTGCATGTTTGTGTCGGTCTCACAGCATTAATACTACAAACGCGCAATATAAAACGCGGCTCTCTTTCATCACAATGGTAGACCAGTTCTCTTTAAGAAGAGTTTTACGGTTAAAATTAAAGTAAACATTTCTAAAAAGAAATTAACTACAGTGTATTAGTCAACTTCAACTATTTAAATACATGCTAATAAATAACCACTTCTCTTTAATTCCTGCTTTATGCTTTTCCCATTATTAATCCTCTTCTGCTGGCGCTTCTTCATCGTCTTCACGTTAATATAATACAATATATCTAACTGTTGAGTATTTACTTTCTTTTCTCTGCAAGCAGAAGCCGTCTGCTGATTCTTTGGGAGTAGGGTTACAGTTTCATGGGAAAGGAAAGCACCTCTTATCAGGATGTTATTGCTATATGTTTCATTCCGTGAACAGCCGGTTTTTAACCTCTAAGAAGAAATCAAACTTTGATTTACGAGGAAATTAAGTGGGGTCCGAATTCGGATATATTTGATACCTCTCAGTCCGGAACTTCTTGTCTTCTCGTCTGCTGTCTAAATACGCAAAAATTAGAATATACAAAAGTATAATTTTGCCTGTGGTTCTGTATGGTTGTGAAATTTGGTCTGTGATATTAAGGGAGGATCATAGGCTGAGGATGTTTCAGAACAGGGTACTCAGGAGAATATTTGGACCGAAGAAGGATGAAATTATAGGAGATTTGAGATAACTTCATAGTGAGGAGCTCCATAATTTACACTGTTTGCGAAGTATATTTATAATGATCAAGTCAAGGAGGATGAGATATACCGGGCATGTATCACGCATGGGGATAAATTGAATGTATATAAGATATTGGTGGGAAAGCCAGAAGGAAATAAACCACTGTGAAGATGAAGACGTTGTTGGGGGGATAATATTAAGGTGGATCTTAGAGAGCTAGGATAGGGTGTTATGGACCAGATTGATCTCGTTCAGGGTAGAGGCCAGTGGAGGTTTCTTACAAACACGATAATGAAACTTCGGGATCCAGAAAGTATTGAGAAATTCTTGAGTGGGTGAGCGACTTGCGGTTTCTCAAGAAGGGCTCAGCTACATGGGGTTAGTTAAAAATAGGCTGCTCCATAGCTCAAGCGGTTAGTTGCTGGCTTCCCACAGCGGCGACCCGGGTTCGATCCCAGGGTCTGTCAAGTGGGATTTGTGGCGGACAAAGTGGCGTTGGGCAGGTTTTCTCCGAGTCCTTCGGTTTCCCTTGCCAATCTTCATTCCACCAATTGCTCCACGATCACTCTCACCTGTCATCTTGGGCTGGTACAATAGGCCAGAAGTGGCCGCAGTACAAGGGACTTAGTCCCACTCCACTAGCAATAAAAAAAATAGTTAAAAATCATCATCACCACCACCATCACCATTACATGAACCAGCATAAGTCAGGAAATTGATTGACTACGAGTAAAAATACCGAGTCTCTTCTCACGAAAGGCAGACACTTTTCAATAAGTCCAGAGCGACTATGGGGCCCTCTAAGGCCCATGTACAAAGCGTACGGAGGACTCCACCCACAGCACAGCCGCGGGAGAGTGAGGCTCAACTTAATTTAATGCCAAGGTTGAGAATGCTCAGAGAGCATGCGCATTCGTTGTGCATTGCGTAGGCAGAGGAATAACATTACTTTCACTGTTCTTGTTTTCCTATTACATACTAATCATATAAATATCAAAAGACGTGTACTAATATTAATCAATATTAATGTTTGTATATATAATTTTCCTCGCCCATAATGGTCAGAGTGATCACGCTCGTTAAATTTTTATTATTGTCTAAATAGTTCAAGTTGCCTTGTTTTTTATTTTGCTTGTTATTTGTTTATTTTTTTCTATGTTCCTGTTTACTATAATTGACTTTGAACTGCTGAGTAAGCACGCAAATAAACAAAGAATTGAATGTAACGGAATTATTATTATTGTTATATTACATTGCTGAATTAGTGTCCAGTAAGGAGAGCAGGAGGAGAGGAGAGAAGGGATGGAAGAGTGAAATAAAGTTCTTAGATTATTTTAAGGAAGAATAAAGTGACACATGAAATTCTTCTGTTGGATTTGACTTTTCCGCAAACGTGAATAAGAAAAACACGAACTTCTAAATTATGACCTCGTGCACTCCGGGTTTACAGGAAGAGAGTGTTCTTTGTTAGACTTCCTGTTAGTTCTGAACTGGTTCCATTTTGTATGTCCGCAGAAAAAGGAAAATCTTTCTTTGTTTAGGAATAT